TATGACAAAAGTATATGAAAGTTTGTCACTTAACTTTATCAAGTATATTAAAGTCATTAAGAATTTGTCAACTCTAGGAAAGTCACTCACTTAAAAAAAGTCTTTGAAAGTTAGAATTGGATACACCCCCCTTAGACTTGTAGAAACTCTTTTAAAGTTTGTATAAATTTAAATTAAATACACCCGAACTTTTAAAATCTTTTTAAACTTTCTAGAATCTTAATTGAATACACCCCTCTAAAATATCGTGGACTTAACCTTATTCTTCCTCCCTAACCCATGAGTGACTCACACACTCTTGTATTTATTCCTTCTAGATATGATAATTATTCAAGGACACAACATACACATACTATAAAAATCAATACCACTATAGTTGCAGGAAATAATTTTTTTATTTATTAATGTGATGACTATAAGACTTGAAGATGATTGAGATGGCGAAAAGATTGAACCTTATTAGAATTACTGTAACTTGCCTTGAAAAGTATAAAGTATAAATTTTTTATAATAAATTATTATAAATATAGAAAAGATTAGAGTGTGTTTTAATACTCATTCCAAAGTTTGATTAACCATTTCTATGCTTTTGTCATAATTTTCGTTATTTTTTTCCTTCACGTACTTATCTTCCTTGTTAAATTTGTACGTAAAGTAAAGTTAACCAACCTAATTTTGAAATTATGAGATCATGAATCACATGGAAACACTGTTTGGGCAATTGAAACCGACAGATGTGGACTTAACCAAATCGCCCACCTCCTTACCAGTCATTTTCATTCCAATACCTGAACACGTGCGTTTCCGTCCACGATCTTGGTCAAAGATGGAATGATCAAAATTGATATTTCAAGACACGCTTGGTTTTGTTGTACTACGTACTTTCTACTGTTTTCTTTTCCAAATTTGTATTTATTTCTAAAATTAAAGAAAAAGAAACTAAGAACACCACCAGTTAGTTTCTCGTCTCTTATCATTCCTAACGCTTTGTTTTTGTTGGGTACTCATTGTTTGACCAAAACTTGGTGGAACAAAAATGTTTCTTCTGTAGGGTCTGATGCACTTAGGCTTTGCTGTATCTGTATCTGTATCTGTATCTGTATCTGTATGGGGCATATTCTAGAAATGCAGATGGGCACTTAGGCCTTGCCAACTTTTCTTTGACTTACAAGTTTTTGGAGGTAATGCTGGGTCCAGGAGGCACCATCACAAATGAAAGGTGATCAAAATGACCTACATGAGACTGTATAATATTCAAAATCCATGTTCTGATTGATGATCAGATGTGACAGATAACCCACCAAAAGAAAAGAATCACTAAAAATTGTCCATGGCTCAATTCCACTGGAATTCAAACACTAGCAGTCAAACTCTCTCTATCTCTGCAAGTGCTTTCATTTTGGAAATTAGCCAGCTATAGCCTAGGGTTGGAGGAAAATAATTACAAACTAACTTGGACGGGTTTGAAGATTCAACACTACTAGAAGAAAAAAGTCTTTTAACGATGCGCAATGTGTGTTGTTAAAGGGTTTCGAACATGTTTGTTCGTGCTGTGTATATGGAAAAACAAATTTTCAGCAGTTGATGAGATAACTTTTTGTCTTTGGACGAGAAATATGCATGATGGGATCAAATTAAAGAGAAAATATTATTTTTATCTTCAAGCCTTCAGAGCTAAGTGCATTATGCCGAGTACCAACAAAGAGACACAAATCCCTGTCGTACGCAATCTTAATTCTGAATTCTGATTTGTATATGAAGGGCAGCTGAAACCGAAGGAATCAATGTGTTGGTTAAAGTGAAGCTTATAGGGAAACTAGTTTGAATACCAAGTTACGCACCCATCACATTACACAAACACAACCGTGCACGTATTGGTACACTAACATTTGCTTTTTAAATACTACTGCAGGTACTTTTTTCGATTATAAATCTGATAAGAATTAAAAAGATTACTGAAATAATATGCTAGCTAGCTGACCTACATCGAAGATAAGACCATGGTGTAATCTCAAGCTATTTTATACACTGTCATATAATCTTGTTACATGAAATTTTTATTTATGCACGATCCTTAGCATTGCGGTCATATTTAAAATGATGTAGTTTTGAATGAGTTGACTAGAATGAAGCCTATAAACAATGAGTTTGATTGTTTTCATTATGGTAATTCAGAGAGGCCAATAAGAGAAGATAATAATAAGTTTTTGTTTTTGGATAGAAATTAGAATGAATGAGAATCTCTAACTCAACTCAACTCAAAGTAGTTTATTGAAGTTGGGAATGGTGTGTGCGTCACGTATGGGTAGTGTTACTGTTACGCTCATAGGGAAACGTAATATGTCGTCACGCTTTCCTTAGACCATGCAACACATGAAGGACCAAACGCACACAAAATTAAAAGAGATATTCTTTTGTTTCTTTTCTACGCAACCAAATGAATCCCCCTTCAATTAATTATATACTCATTTTGTATTTGCATGTAGATAAGATCATAAGATGGATAAAGCCGGATGCCTCTGGACTCGGGACTCGGGACTCGGGACTCGGGACTCGGGACTCTGGACTGGATATGCATATTTGATGCTTTTGCTATCCCTCTCTCTCTCTCTCTCTCTCTCTCTCTCTCTCCATTATAATGAAATCCTTCCAAAGAAAAAGAAAAAGAAAAAGAATGAGAAATAGCATAAAGCACATCCACAATTTAGGCATCTATCTCCAGCCAATTTACTATTACACCAATCTTTTTCCTTGTTTTGTTTTTCAAAGGGCATTTATGGGTTTTTCCACAGGGAGTTTAAAAAGGGTTTTGGACCACACAACTATCCATAATTCATGAATGAAAGGCGGGATCTGAGATTTAAAATTCCAGCCTAGCTTTGGCCTCAATTGGCGTTCCAGAAGAAATTGCAGTCAAACCAACCCCGAACTGTCAAACTTTCAAAATTAATAAACAAAAAGTGGATGCAAACTACTATGTATGTGATGTGCCACAAAAGAAAGCAAAGCTTTACCCGGGTCTCTCGCCCCTCTCTCTCTCTCTCTCTCTCTCTCTCTCTCTCTCTCTCTTCAGTCTTCAGTCTTCTACTCCTAAATGAGATATATTATTCTTTTACATTCGCCAAATCATATATATATATATATATATATATATACCCTAAGAAACCCACCTCAAATCTTGTTAGCTTGTAATCAATTCTCTCAACCCCACACCACCTGCACAAAAGACACAGCCCTTTTTGCTCTCCCCTCCCTCAATAATTTAATCAAACGCCTTATCATCAATCGTCTTTCTGCCCTTCATATATAAGCTGAAAGTTCACAGCCGATTATACCTCTCTTAATCTCACACATTGACAAATGAGGTTGCGATTTTTCACTCTCCAGATGATCCCATGGTGTTTCCAGTTGATGGGCAACCACAATCTCTCTCGCGTGCAGCTTCGTCACACCCATCAACAGCGCCAGGTTGTGGGTACCATCAAGCTCGTCAAATCCGACGGCCTGGTTTTGATCTACCACAGCCCAATCTATGTCTCCGAGCTCATGATGGAGTTTCCGAAACACCTTGTGTGCCGGTCCGATTCGTTCTATATCGGACAAAAGATCCCGGCTCTCTCTGAAGACGACCAGCTTCAGCTCGGCCACAAGTACTTTCTGCTACCTCAACACTTGTTCCAGTCGGTGCTTTCTTTCGTGACCATTGCTTCGTTCAATACCAAAGACTCGTCAAAAACCGCGTTTCTAAGGAAGGCTGTGAATTGCGAGCCGTTTGATATTCAGAAAACGCCATCTGGGTGCTTGAGGATACGCGTTTCCGACGAGTTTATATCCCAGATGTTGGAGGAAGGGAAGCTCAACGAGGAAGCAGCAAATAACGAAGATGAGGCAAATAATTTTGCCAAAGCCAAGAGCGGGGTTTGCACCACGGCTCAGTTGCAGAAAGACTACACGCAGCTTGTTGGGTCACGGCAATGGAAGCCGAGGCTTGAGCCCATCAGAGAGACGAGGGAGAAGAGCAGAAGGCTGTCTTCGTTTGGGATGAGAAGATCTTCCAAGAAGAAATCTCAACCCAACTCATTAAAGGAGTCCCAGAACCAAAAGAGTTCTAGTACTGCTACTTCCAAAGCCAAGATCAAGATCAAGATCAAACCATCCAGGAAATGATGATTCCGTGGATTGTTAATTAGTTAGGAGTTAAGTAGGAGGGTCCTCTGTTTGGATTTTGATTGATATGAAGTGAATATATGTTCTGCAGTTCATACTGATTTCTCACATCACACAGCAATGTAAATACATGACTCTGTTTTCATGCTCTTTTTCAATACAAATTACTCTCTTTCTCATTGCACTTTTTGCCTAATGATCACCATCTTTATTGCTAAAGCTATCAATATTAAATTCTTGGGTTCTTCTGCCATGTTAATTAATTAATTCCCATTATCTATAATCATCCAGATTCCAAGTGCTTGATGCGAATCTGCAAATCTGATTGCGTGCATGTAAAAAATTAACCTAACTAACAAGAAACTCGTAACTCAAGTGGTTAAGAGCAGTCATCCTTGCATCTCTTGTGATTGAATTCCCCTCCTCCAATATCACTTGTATGTCTGAGAAATATAGCTGGTTTTCTGCAAATGTCCAGAGTGGAAGATGGTGGCGTTATTTGTAGGTAGGGTAGAGAGGCCAGGTGCGTGGCTGGGTTTGGCATAGTTGGACTGTCTGGCCTAGATAGATGACGAACTGGCAGTGCCACTCATAACTTGCTGTGGGTTGGGATTTGAGAGACGATGGGGGGAAATGGACAAAATAACAGTCAAAAAGGTCAGCTAGCTTTCAATCTACACATTTCTGCAAACTCCCATTATCTACAATTGCGTTACGTGAATGAGAATGAATTAATTCGCAGACCAATCCTTGACTTGCACGTGTACTCTCATTCTCAGCTGACCCCACGAGTAGGCACCAGCAACAGTAGCTACCAGCTCAGCCGTGCCAATACACATCGTCCAATTCCAAGTATTAACAGAGCATGAAATTTTGGTCAAAGTTGGGCTGGTTCTTTCCTTAGATCCATTTCCTGTTGCTTTATATATCAAATTCCCAAGTGGACCCTACAGTCCCTTTTGGCCTTTTTCTACTCTACTCGTTCAAAATTTTTGACTGGTGGTGAATTTTTGTGTGCCTTTCTTTTCTTTGTTTTTCTAGAGCCCCGTGGGATTCCCGCGGCTATAAATTTAATGCCGGTTTACTTGGAAGACTGAATTGACGTTCAATGTTTTGAAACATGGTATTATATGCAGAGTACCTTGTTTAAAAGATTGTATAGGGTGGTATTGGGTTTGCTAAATCAACATTTGAATCATGTTTTTTTAATTCCATTTCATCTTCTAGTATGCTTGAACATTGAATCATGTTTAGCTAAGAAAAATTTCCCACATTAGCGGCTAACATAAATGCTTGTAGGCGGCATGAGCAAGTCTTGAGTGTTGCTACCTTATGCGACAACACAATCACACGAAAGCAAAACTCTGAATTGAGGTTCACTTAGATCCGACCGTGTGTGAGCATTAAGCAGCCACACCCAAGACAAGACTCTTCCAACAACAATGTTTGAATTTAATCCATCCATTGCAATTAAAACAAAAAACATTATAAAAATTGGTTGCCGTTGGATTGGATTCAACGAAAGAAAGCATTCACAATTTTTTTTTCGTTATTATTATTATTATTGCTTTTAGGTCAAAAAAAAAATTCGTTAATAGGTGAGCGCTTCTACCAAAGGTGTCGTTATTATGTTGAGAGAAGAATCCTGATAACGAGCACGACGATATGTCGTCGTTCTTCAACTAAACTTCAACTGAAACCTATCTCCAGAAACAGTCCCTCGATAACATCGTAGTAATCAGTGTATATTCCCCACCAACAACACCACCAGGGTTCTCCAAGTTCCCAACAGGCAATGCGGAATTGGGTTTGATTCAATCATCGCCATGGAAGTCCTTGCATCAGCTCAAATTCAGCGTTTGATCGTCACCGAGAAACCAATCGACACTGCCCAGTACAAGCATCCCCGAAATTCCAAGACCAGCACGAAGGTGGCTGTGACCCGCAAGCTGCTCGAAAAAATGCCCCACTCAGACACCTTTGCATGGAACAATCTTATCCAAACCCATATCGCCAATGCCCATTTCGACAACGCCCTCTCCACATACCACCAAATGCTGCTCCGCGGTGTTCGGCCCGATAGACACACTCTCCCCCGGATCTTATCCGCCTCCCGCCTTTCCGCTGATCTCCCTCTCGGCAAACAGCTCCATGGCCACGCTCTCAAGCTGGGCTGCTCCGATGACCGTTACGTGGTTGCTGCTCTCATCGAACTGTACGGCCGTCTCCACAGCGTTGACGCCGCAAAAGGGCTATTCGACAAGTCCCCTGTCAAGGACTCTGTTTCTTGGACTATGCTGGCCAGGTTGTACATCATGGAAGGTAAGCCCAGCATGGCGCTTCATGTGTTTGACGGAATGGTTGAATCTGGAGCTCAGATAGATCCTGTGGCGCTGGCAACAGCAGCTGGTGCCTGTGGCATGTTAAAATCGGTGATTGATGGGAAAAAGGTCCACCGGGTTGCCAAGGAACGTGGATTGGAGTTTGATGTGTTGGTGAGCAATACCCTCTTGAAAATGTACATGGATTGTGGCTGTATTGATGATGCTCGGTCAGTTTTCGATCAAATGCCTTCGAAAGATGTCATTTCCTGGACAGGAATGATTCATGCCAACGTGAAGAGAGGAGGCTTCAATGAGGGTCTTAAATTGTTTAGGCAGATGATTGCGGATGGAGTGAAGCCGGATTCTCTCTCAGTATCTAGCGTTCTCCCAGCATGTGCAAGAATGTCTGCAAGTAAACAAGGAAAAGAAATTCATGGATACTTGATTCGAAATGGTATCCGTATGAATCTCACTGTCTTGAATGCTCTGATGGACATGTATGTCAGGTCAGGATTTATCGAATCTGCTTCGAAAATATTTGCCCGGTTGAAGCACAAAGATGTTGTTTCATGGACCGTGATGATATTGGGGTACAGCTTACATGGACAAGGGCAGCTCGGAGTCGATTTGTTCCGCCAAATGGAGGACTCAAGCATACAGATAGATGAAATCACGTATGCTGCTGTCCTTCGTGCTTGTGTTGCTGCGCTCATGGTTGCGGAAGGGAAGTTTTACTTCAACTGCATCAAGACGCCTGCAGTTGCACACTCTGTTTTGTTGGTAACTCTTCTATCTCGTTCTGGGTTGTTTGATGACGCAAAGAACTTCATTGCTGACAAAAAGATTGAAGGAGATGCTGAGGTGCTGAGAGCACTGCTAGATGGCTGTAGGATTCACCAGCAATCGAAATTGGGCAAGCGGGTCATTGAGCAGCTCTGTGATTTGGAGCCTCTTAATGCTGATAATTATGTTTTACTCTCCAACTGGTATGCTCACTATGCAAAATGGGACTTGGTGGAGGAAGTAAGAGGAACGATTATAGATATGGGTTTGAAAACTAAAAGAGCTTATACTTGGATGGAATTGAGAAACAAAGTTCATGTGTTTGGGACGGGGGATGTTTCTCACCCAAGATCACAGGGAATATACTGGGAGTTGCAGTGTTTGATGCAGAAAATGGAAGATGAAGGACATAGACGTGATTCGGATTTTAGCTTCCATGATGTGGATGAAGAGCGTGAGTGCATTTCAATTGGGCACAGTGAATTGTTGGCCATTTCTTTTGGTCTCATCAGTACACAAGCCGGATCGACGATACGCATAACAAAGAATCTGCGCGTGTGCTGCAACTGCCATGATTCTGCAAAAATTATATCCCAGATGGTAGGACGAGAAATCATACTTAAGGACCCAAACTGTTTCCACCATTTTAAGGATGGCTATTGTTCATGCGGTGATTTTTGGTGATTTAGTTATCTATATGTTGCTGTTATCATATGGGCTCTTAAAGGCGATATGGTCCCAAAACACGAATTTCATAATGACAAGTTGACAACCTCTAGTAGAAATGAGACATCAGAAACACAAAGCATTCCATAACTTATAACGAATACTAGGGGGGGTAAATCGGGAGTACAACTGTAATATAGTGGAACAACATCTACCTCCAACAGAACACATTAGAAAACGTAAAATAACGATCGGCACATGCGAGTATAGCCAATCCATACTCATGCAAAGTGTTCTGATAAGAAGTAGAAAAGAAAATTCTGGAAACGTACTAGTAACAGATCCAGCCATTTAGGTTCTATCTCAAAATTTTGCAAACATAACAAGCACATACTACTTAAGTTTCCCTTCTGGTAGGCCGCCTGCGGGGAGGAGCAGCAGCATCTTCCTTCTCACTCTCATCTTCCTTCTCCTCACTGCTTCCTTGAGTGTTGGAAGTCTCTGCAGCTGCAGGCCTATCTGTTTCAGGAACAGTGACCTGCAAAGTCCGGGACAAAAGAGTTTACAAGTGCAATCATGTAATTACTGCTATCAGAAGTCACAACCATTACAGAAAAATGCAAACATATGCAGGGTGTACTAGCATACCTTGGGTTTTTTGCCACCAAAAAGGATTTTAAAGAGAACTGTCAAAAGAACAACCACGATGGATACAATGATACCAATTGCAATATTCGGCTGTTTTTCTCCCTTCTCAATTAGGTCCTGCATGAACATTGCATAAACATGCTCAATTAAGCATAATCTACAAGCTCAATTGTAATAGCATACAATGTTAACACCATTTACAACCTCACTAGCAGAGAAATGACAAAGGCTGTTAGATGCTGCAATAGCTCTCAATTAAAAAAAAACGATGACAAGGCAAAGACTTACAATGATCTTGGGTTTGTATGCATCCAAGAGAGGAACGTCCGCTATTTTGTAGAGAAGGTCAAATATTTTCTTCTGCAAGTATTAGTTTATAAAGTTTGTTTGTTAGATTACGAAGTACCAAAAGTCAATAGAAATTAAGGAAACTCAAATATAAAGTAAAAAGTTGATTACCTGGAAGCCTGAGAGTCCGTCTGAAAGACCAGCAGCTTCTTCCTCAGCCTTCTGTTTCTCTTTCTCATTTTCAAACTTCGGCTTCCATGTTGTTAGCCTATAAGATTCAGCAACCTTCTCATCATCAGCTATGAGAATATTGTCAAACAATATGCCATCCTGCATTGTCCAGATCTCAATGCCAATAGCAGCGATGGCCTCAAAGTCAGGCTTCTCAGTCTCAAAGTAGCTAGGGTTTGGAATTTCTTGAGGTTTCCAAATACCCTTGTAACCGGGGTTGTCAATAAGAGGACGGCTCCATTTTC